ACTCCCATAATATGGGCAGGCTTTGGCCTCTCTTCCCAAAGCCACCAACTGCTCGATGTCCTTCACTTCCACTAGAACTTCATCGCGGAGAAACTGCATTTGCTCATAGGAATAGAACGGGCAGACGGTGCGACGCACACGTCTCTTCTTCCCCTCGTTCTCGTCATCACTCTTCTTCTCTAACAGCAGAAATCAACATAAAACTATGAGCCACACACACAATAGTCTAAAACAAACACTTTGCAGAACCTCCTGGATTTCAAAGCAGGCTTTGTCACGTCTACTTTGACCTATCATCTATTTTAAAATTACTCAGCGGTAACACACAGAATCCCAGAACGGCCTGGATTGGAAAAGCCCTTTAAGCTCATGGAGTCCAACCATGAACCCAACACTGACCAGTCCCCTATGACTAACCCATGTCCCTCAGCACTGTGTCTACACGACTCTGAAATCCCTCCAGGGATGGGGACTCCACCACTGCCCTGGGCAACCCCTTCCAATGCCTCAGAACCCTTGCAGCAAAGAAATTCTTCCTCACATCCCATCTCAACTGCCCTGGCCACAACTGGAGCCCATTTCCTCTTGTCCTGTCCCTTGGGCCTTGGTTGAACAGACCCACCCCCACCTCTCTCCACCCTCCTCCAAGGGACTTGCACAGAGCCACAAGGTCTCCCCTCAGCCTCCTTTTCTCCAGGCTAAAATATCTAATATCTGTTTATCATAGATAAATATCTATTTATCTTTACAACTGTCTTTCACAGATAAAGATGTATCAGGATAGGCAGGTTGTATGTGGGTTTCATGTAGCTTTACTCGATAAACGTGCAAAGTTTTACAAACTCAGTGTGCTAGATTTGAGGTCATACACCCCTAGCACTCAGTGCTGAATAAAGCAATATCTCCTCTCTAAACTGTGATGGTTTTGAGAGTCTCCATTTCAGGTAACTCTACCACCCTCTTGCTAGAACTGACTGGCAGTGCACACTGTCTCCAGACTCTCACACCAGCTGTATCAGTCATTTCTTCCCCAGGCTGGAAGTGCTCCTACCATGTTTGTTCTTTTGCATCTCCATGCAGCGGTCATTGATGAGCTGGAGAGCTCTCAGGCGTTGCACCTCCTCATTCACACACAGGTTCTGGGACATGTAAAGAGAGGAAGTGGTTGGGAGTCGATTAAGAACTGAGTGTGCCCCATGTGCACCCTTTGCTGTAAAATACAATATTTCCTTAAAGCAATCTCAGGCCAGATTCTGAAATGGAAAAGTCTATCGGTCAGACACTGTGCATACTAACTTCTACCAATATGCTCAGAAACCGTAAAAAATTAGGAATGAGACAAAAAAATAAAAAAAAAAAAAGGAGAAAAGGTGCACTGAGATGGCTCACTGCTACACAACAGCTTCTAAAGAACGTGGCCAGAAGAGGAACGCCTTCCCAGGGACTCAGACATCTGGAATATTCCACATGAGAAAAGGTAAAACAGACTTTTTGCATTGACATCAAAGGGTAAATGGCCAAAACACGGCTGACAGAAAAATGTCCATCACACAGATCTGTGTCACGGCACACAACTGCTTTCATTTCTCACCAGGAGACTCAGTCCAGCCCTGAGATGCCTTCTGTGGCGTCACATCCACAGGCCTCCTCACAGAGTCTCTCACATCAAGTTAACCCCGTGCACTCTGGGTGCCCTGTGAACGGTACCACTCACCTGCCTGGATCCCAGCGAGACCAGACGCGTGTCTTTGCCAAAAGGACTTTTCTGCACCTCACGCACAAACTGGGAGAGCTGGGAGTGAGTGCGGCTGCAGTAGTAAATCTACAGTGAGGAAGAACAAAGGGAAGACAAGAAGAACCCTGTGGAAGCCAATCCCCTACCTACAACCACTCCTACAGGGAAGCAGACAAGTTTTTCAACAAGGTTAATCTTGCTCAAGCCTTCAAAAACACCAGGGAAGGCGCATGTTTGACTGTCACCTTACAGCCATTGAGGCCAACAGCCTTATTTTTGTTTTCTCCCATGCATTTGCCTTTGTTTCCATTTAATTTTCCAAGCTCTCTATAAAAACACGGAGTCACCATTGGAGAGTAATAAAAAAACTGTTTTCTGCAGTGTGGTTTTTCAGCAAGCCACAGCAAAAATTGAGCAGTGCTAACACAGCAAACTGCTTAGGCAGCCAGTGTAGTCCAGAAGGAGATAAGCACAGCGGAACTGGTTGCTATAATCAACAGACTTGGCAGTTCTTGGATGCCAGTTCCTACATCCTTCTGTACTGCATGACTCTAGGAAAAGGAAGCCATAATCAATGCTGCTCAGCCTTGCACTGTTCTATCAGGTGGCACTATTGACTTGCCTCATCTCACCTTAGTCACATGCTCCTCTTCCAAATCATCGTCATCTTCTCCCAGCCTAAGAAAAGAGAAAGCTCAAACAGTTTCCTTTCAGCAGATCACTGACAGTTAGAGTCAACTGATGCTTTACTACGAGAGAGGTCTCAAGATAGATGGTTGTGTCATCTGAAGAAGAGCCTCAGATCTTAACTCAGGAGGTAAAAGAAAAAACAACTTTTTAAGAATAGTGTAAGTATGCACAATCAAGTCAACTCTTGCTCTTTAAAACACAAATATCTGTAGGGCCATGTCTTTAGCAAGTTCAAGAATTTTTTATTTTTTTTTATTTTTTTTTAATTTTAAATCTGGGGCTTCTCAGCCCTGGGCACAAGCTAATCAGTGTCACGCTATTCTTTGTGAGCTTATTTGTTTATTTTTGTAAAACTTTCCCTTTAGAGACAATTTACTGCCCTCAAGCTATTGCATGAGGAAAAGCATCAGGAAGATATTTAGCTGCCATAGAGTTCCTCAAAGGAAACAGCAGTTTAATGTTTGATAAACTACATATGAATTAAATAGTGAAGTGGTTTGCAATTTTTAAGGCAGGAGGATGTGTCTAGATACTAATTAGTAAATTTGTATTTTAAATGTATTTTACTTTTCATGCTGAAGTAGGGCTTCTGGCTTTCTGCATAATGCCACAAATGCATGAGAGAGAAGTCTGCACGGGGTTTTCATGCTGAAGCTCCTTCTTTAGAAACGTGAACATCTTTTGGAGTATCAGAAGATGCCAGCGCCAACTGGTGCCCTGAGTTCCACTTCGCTTTATACTGCAAGGAACTTGATCTCAAGTCATTATTCACTCAGCATCCAGAGGCATTCTTTGGGAAACTAGGCATGGGTAAAGGCAGGACATTCCCACATGGGAATGCACTAAGAAAGATGCACTTCCTCAGAAAACACTTCTGGTCGCTCTGATCAGTCTTAACAAAAGCTTAAAAACCAAAATAAAATCACCAAAATCCAACAAACTAACCAATTAAACAAACCAACCCCCAGAACCAACCGCTACCTGACACAGCTGGAATGGGGGAGAAACTCCAGAGCTGCACAATCTCAGGTAAAATCTTTAACCAAGGCAAGCTAAAAATGATACAGAAAACGTTCCCTTGGCATGGAACCCCCTCAGTCCCTGTCCTTACCCAGATACCACTTTCTTTTCTTCATCACTCTCGTACTCAGCAAGAATCAGCTCCTCCTCGTTGTGATCCAGCTGCTCGAGAACATCCGCCCCAGCTCCCTCTGAAAGAACCTCTTTGCTAAGCTGGAGAAGGCGCTTTGTCTCATCCTCCTCAGATCTCTGAAAGGAACACATGATCACGTTACTTCTCATACAGAAAGAAAGGGAGCACACACACATCGCATCATGCCACGGACAGGTCAGAAGACAGCACAGTCCCTCACATGTAACACAGCAAATCATTTCCTGGGGAAGCCCTCAGCAAATGCACCAAGGGTGTCTGAAGCTGTTCAACCCCACAGAATCCAGCTGTGGCCAACAACAAAAGATGTATGTGAAGGGGAAACATAAAGAACCTGCTATGCAAAAGGACCACTGAACTAACAGATCCTGAAATTACAATATCCACGCTGTTCAGTATTAATTGCTTAAAGTGGCCTATAAAAGATGGCTGCCCGAGAACAAACAGGGTGTGAACAAACCCAACCAGCCAAGCAGACATCATCATTTTCTTTGCAAGGGGCAGAGGAGGGGCAGGCGCTGATCTCTTCTCTCTGGCCACCAACCAATGCCAGGAGCAGAGGGAATGGCAGGAGGATGTGGCAGGGGAGGGTGAGGTTGGCCCTGAGACATTTCTGAACAAGACAATCACGTTTGCTATGAAAGTAAACAAACACCATCGTTCCCCAGTGGTGAGCCAGGTCATTTAACTGAGACCTGGCTTTTTGGGGGGCAGTCTTCTGTTCCCACGATCTTAAATTTAATCATAGTTCTACAGGTTTTATTCCAGAAGTACAGAGTGTTCACAAATGCTTCTAAAACAGAGAGCTTAAAAAAAAAATTCCAAGTATTAAAGCTTTTAAAACAAAAGCAGAGGGCCAGAAGGCCATCAGAGCACACACCCTTGCTACCCACACACAAACACTGTCACAGGAAATCCTTTTTCACATTTATACTTTAAAAAGAAAATTTTTGGATGACCAATTTCAGCAATCTAACACCAAGAGCTCCCTGAACGGGATGGAAAATTCAGTGTGAAGTCAGAGGTGAAGCAAGTATGAACACTCGAGGCAACCAAACCAGAAAGTTCTACTCTGTGTGGGACAACTCACCTTCCTCTTTGCTGCGTATTTTAACTGCACATTGTGGCGAATTTTCTCAAGACGATCTTCTCGCTTTTTCCTCCTGATCTGCTCTTCCTAAAATAAAGGGAGAGTGAAGGAAGGGTGAAGTGTGTTTAGTCCTAAACCCTGGGTATAATTAGTTTCCTGTGCCCAGAGTACAGAAAAAAAATTAACTCTGAAACAAAACTGTCAAGACACTGTCCCTTTCTCCTGGAGAACATGCCTATCGTAAGGTACTGTCTTCAGAGCAATGTAACTTCCTATCTTATGCAACCTGCATGGCAATGCCTCATCCCTCATACCCAAAACAAAGTCCTGTGAAAGACAAAGACCACCACCAAAGCTTGCCTCCTATGTTTTTCCAGTCATCACCCAGGATATCAGCCTTTCTGATCCTCACACCTCGTTAGTTTTTTACCCGTCCTCTACACAGGAGCATTTCACAGAATGTCAGGGATTGGAAGGGACCTCAAAAAATCATCTAGTCCAATCCCCCAACCATCCAGTCCAATTTCTCAACCTTCAGCCTGTCCACTATGTCCTGCTCTTCTTTCTTCCGCACAAACGCCGTGACCCAGTCTGGTTCCCCAGCAGCGCCTTTGCTGTCTGGGTGTCCGGGCTCAGCTGGAGTCAGTCGCTTCTTCCCCTCCTCTCCACCTTCCTCAAGTGCCAGAAGTCGTGCCTCCTCCTGCTGCTGCTTCTTCTTCTCGAAGTCCCGGAGCCAGGAGAGGGCCCCACAGATGAGGCTCAGGGATTTTCCCTGCCATAGAAAACAAAATTTTCCTTGTCACAGAAAACAAACGAGCGGAGGTTTCTGTGGCTGGAGCACTGTGGTCCCTGCACTCACAAAGCCGTGCCCCTCTGGAGGGGGGACCCACTTGGTGACCATCCCTTCTGCGCGAGATCAGGCCCAGACCTGGTCCCTTTCCCTGGTGTGGTGGTTGCACTGGGCTGGCACCACTGGGCTGGCAGCCAAACC